AAGCACTGAATTAAGATCATGAAAGGTCACTTATAATGGGGTGCGATTCGTTGCGCGTGNTTTTTTTTTGCTTTTCATTGAGGTCAAAAAGCAGCCGAAGCCGCTCCGGGCAATGCGGTTTGTACGGGGAAGGTGTCTATTGCATAAAAATGTTTTGCAAATTTTAAAAATGGCGACTTTGACCTTGAAGGAACGCCTCGAAGCGGACGAGCTGCAGTATTCGACGAAGAGCATCTGAGGCACTATTGAAGGAAGATGGTAGCCAAACAACTCGTGAATTGACTGATTATTATAATAATTTATTAAATCATTCTTTATTATAATTATTATTATTTTTTCAAATAAATTTTTGTGAAAAAACTCTACGAACTTATGTTACAACCTAATAATAGCCTGGATGTTCGTGCAGCGATGTTTGCTACCTTTAGCTGATTTAGGGAATGTGAGCAACTTCATGATCTTTGGAAAATGTTCACGAGTTTACTACCATCAACATTGGTAATAATGAGTTCGGAGCTACATACCATGCACTATAACACCTGCTTTATCATGAACTGCTTGCTCATCATATGAATGCGTTTTTTCGCTCGGAATTCTGAATTCTGAGTAAGATGAATATCTAAGTGTCTTCATGCTGATATTGGCTGACCGGCTCTCCACAATCTACGTGTGAGTGCTTTTAAGCCATGGCATATAAACCCTTAGGAAGGCAAGGATAAGCGGGGCATCGGTAGCGAATGGTATAGAGCACGGTGTCCGGATAGCATCGGTATGGGTTCGAGTCCAAAGTCGAAGTTTTGCTCTCAAATCGCCAACCTTGTGATTTCGAACAAGTCGAAGTAACATCAGTTAACAAATATAATGTCGAAAAATGCCCCTTTTTGGGGAACGGTTCGCCGGTGATTCCCTGACCAAGTTAGGTCCACAAACGTAGTGTTGTGTATGATATTTCTGGAACGGAACTGAATCACTACGAAGCACAATGGGTCATCACACCACTGTTCTGTGCTCTTGAACCCATATACACAGACCTCTGCTGTGTTAGCCTTGTGAGTAATCACTTAAAATCATCTTTACAACTTCGTCCAGAGAATCGCTCAGCAAAAGTGGAAAGCAAAATTGAAATCAGCATCCAAATACACATGTAACAGTATAAATCTTACTCCGATAGAACGCCTCGACTTAAAATCTTTCCTTGGTTAATTCAGGGTTACACTATTTCCTTTACAGTAATTCCGATGAGCTACATGGTTAAATTTTTCTTCATATCAATTGCTAAAACGATATCTACTATCGAAAATATGATAATAACAATAATAGTAGTAATAATAATACAAATATTAATCTCAATCATAATATCAATATTAAGAAATAATAATACCAATATTAGTATCAATATTAACAAATAATAACAATATAATATGGTTTGATTACAGTTAGGGAAAGCACTGAATTAAGATCATGAAAGGTCACTTATAATGCTACCACGTGATATTACAACGGGACTCCCAAGAAATAAAACATGACCTTTTTCGATTTAATCACTATTTCCCATGTATTCCTTTCTGTCATCCACTATCAATGTCGCCTTTCTATTAAACCTAACACTCATGTCAGCAAGCGTGTTACTACTGCACGTTGCGGTGCACTTTTATGATTCAACTTCTAGTCAGACATACAGACAGACGGACGGACAGGGAGACGACAGACAGACAGGCACGCAGAAATAC